ACACACACACACACACATAGATTGAGCTAAAGAGCTTGTGACACAAAGCTTGACCTGGAATCATTTATTCAAGAACATGAAGTCCTGTAGTTACTAGGAAACCATTACTTACAGTTTGCTTTTGTATGAAACTCTGGTAGATTACAGCAGCTGTTGAACAAAGACAGCCAAGAAAAAGTTGTTGTCTTGGCAGCAATTGTTTCCTCAGCTCTGCACTTTGTACTGTGGGAAATTTATAATCTTTTTAGTGAGAAAATAGAAAATAGATTAAAATTGAGTCCACAGCAGGTCACACTTGAAGAGTAGCTTAATAAGAAAATATGTGGCATACAGTAAGTGCAGGAGATTTGTTTTACCCAAATGTTCCTTCTAATGAAACCCTCGGAAATATTCTGGATACTCTGACAATACAATAGGTTTATGTCCATCAGTTTTACTATTTCAGCCCTGTTGTTGATCATTTTAGTGTACACAAAACCCAAGAGTCATGTGTTATTGCTAAAAGAAGAAGCCAGTCAGAGGCATGAACTGCATACAAACGGCATTGTAGCATTTTGACACTGCTCAATAGTGCTGATATCATAAGAAAAATGACACAGAATCTGACAGACTACTCGTTTACACTGATAGTTGTATTATCAGGTTTCTGATAAGTGCAGTCTTTATCTTGAGCCCACTGTGAGTAACGACTCAGCAGATTTTAAGCTTAAGGATGGATATTTCGCGCTCTGTAGTTTTCTTTGTTACATATTCTTTACTGTACGTAGGCGTCTTTGACTTTTTATCAAAGAAACATATATTTTGCCACTGTCAGTGTCATTTCATTTATTTTTTCTACAATATCCACTGTTGCAATAAAATATACACAACCTCAGCACTTGGCTAAGGTTAGAGAAAGTCAACAGTGACATGAAGCATTCAACAATTAACATTCAAACAAGTCTTAATTTTATTTCTTGGAGACAGAGTTGCATTTTCTAACACTCCTCTTTCTTACTGATGATTTAACCAGGAGACCTTCTGTGATTTGACTCCAACTGTCGTTCACCCAAACCTGTAGTCTTTATGCAAACAAATGAAAAGCACTTTTACTTCCAGACACTAGGACACCCAAAAACATGCCTCCCACTTTGAAAACTCTTTTACACTGCAGACAGACGAAAGCATCTGCCAAATGGGTGTAACCTAATCGTAATCTGCACCCACGTACTCAAACATAGATCAGTGATTGTGGAACCAAGCTGAGAAGCCTTGGCCTCTTTTGAAAGGGAACATAACTGGAAAAGTGCCAGACTGGAGTTTAAAGTCGAGCAGCAGGAAGAGAGACGACATACCGATAAATACTCGAACTTCAGATCCTCAAATCCAGTGATCATGATAAATTACATAATGTTAAACTATGGTCTAATACAACCAGATAATGTAAGCGGGATTATGACATTGACTCTCTCTGCTTTCTCCCTGTCTCTCTCGTCGAAGAAATGAGAAATCTGCTATAATCGATTTGAACACACCTGTTTAGCAGCAGAACTGCTCTCATCTCTCTCAAAGCAATTACATGATCAAAGACGGGGAGCGCAATCAATGTCCAAAGTAATTGGTCTTACCTGCCATGCAACCCTGTTACAAAACTATTATAGCTAACTGCTGTTCTGGTCACCTCAGCAGCAGCTGTCCAATCACATCAGGTTGAGAGGTTTCTTGAGTGTTTTCCCCCCCTCGCAGCCTCCACTTTAGGATTTATCAGCCAAGAAATGAGCCGGCTCTACAGCGAGGTCCATCCATATGACTTACAGTATCTCCATTAAAGTGGATTGTAATCTCATCAGAAGTTTGATCCATAGGGCTTGTCTGAGCCACGAACACTAATGGGAGAAGGCAAATCAATATTGACCCATAGCAAGCCAAATAGTGGGCAATATTAAACTGATTTTCATAGTGCATTCTGCTTTCCTGTCAATTTCTATTAAAACACCAAATGTTACAGTTTGCACAGTGGGTGTTGGGTTTAACAAATGAGATACAACTTGTTCATTAGTGCTCTTTAGCACTACCAAATAAAAGCTACCAAAATAAAAACTCCCAGTGAAAACATCCTGATTCATTTTTCAATGCTTTGAGCCGCAAAAACTAAATTACATTCATATCCATTGTAGTAAGGTGGGAGCAAAAAAAACAGACTCATAACTCAAGACCAGGACAAACAAACCCCAACTATCTGAATAGGAAGATACCAGAGATATTGATTCTCACGTTTTGCACAGATCGAGTAGTGATGTAATATACTCGATTCCAGATTGAGTAATCTATCATATTGGGCCAAATATTAAACAACGCCGATTACGACACATGAAAGTAAAACCTCCATTGCAATAAAACACATTACATGAGCTATAAACAGATGTGAAGAAACTCACTAGCATAGCAATATAAAGACTTCAAACAACCAATAATGCAACACTCTGTAACCCTGTTATACCAGTACTCTTTAAATTTTTCAAATACACTTAATGTAGTGTACAACATCTAACATCCATGTTTTTTCTATTTGTGAACACATGTTTGAAATCCATAGATACTGAAGAAAAATATATAATACAGAAAAAAAAAACAGATCAGGTACAGTACGTGTCCGATAGATTAATTAATCTATTCCCATCCCTACAACATACCACTAGGAGTCATTTTGGAGAACTGACCCTTTAAAGTAAGCATACGCTACTGTGAATACCTATATTTTGATTTGCAGTAGATAATGGAGATTTGCTGGATGAATTTGTCTGTCAACTCATGCATGGTGGAGGACCAGTGAGGCCTGAGAATTGCAATAAATCACCCCGGACATGAAATGCAGTGCTGTATGTTCAGAAGACAGCATTTACAACATTATCACAACCCTATTATTTGTGATGTTCCAATGTAATCCTCCTTACTTTGTCACACGATGAACAGACTGAGAGACTAAAACACTTCATGGATCATTCCTCTTATACAGTACACACACATCAATGTGAAAATGATTTTGGAAACTGGTGGCCTTTCAAGGGGATTGTCTGTCTAGCAGAGAGCCTTGGTGTAGCAAATCGGTTTTCATGGCAGGAGACAGTATAGGATTTTTTTTTTTTCTTTAGAGGCAGGCCTCATTGGGATTGCCATTTCTTTTGATGTCATGTCATGCAATGGCATTTCAAGGGGGGGAAATATGTTCCTTTGTAGAAGACAGTCCAGGCAGGAAGGCAGTGACAAAGGCTGCTCCAATCAAATCAGACACGTAATTAAAAGTTCTGAGAGGCCCAAACTGACAAGGTCAGGTGGAAAACAGTGAAGACTAAACCAATTTCATAAAGAGCAAAGCAAGAGATTAACACCTGGAAGAAGTGACGGATGAACACTGTGATGACATTGGAGTAATTTTGGAAACTGTTTTGATCTGTAGATAAACAGTTCTGCAGATGAAGCCGTATCTATCTTTTAGCTAAAAATAAACACTGGTGGACTGTAACTCTGGCAATGTCAGTGATGGACAAGTTATAGCGTGGTGCTAATCTGAGAGCCTCTTCTGAGATGGTGCTGGTGCAAGCAAAAAACCACATATTTGCATACAATTGTTGCCTTTTTGTCTGTGGTA